TTCCAGCTTTGGAAAAATATTTTTTTTCTTCAAAAATTATGCGGGGCGGCGTTCTTTTACTAGAGACAAAAAATGTAGTAAATACTAGACTGACCATTTTATGAAATGAGTCGCCGGTATAGTTGGAAAATATTTATACTAAAATTTATGCGTTGGTGTAGGTAGTTTTTAGCCTTCCTGAACATTTTCTTGATTTTTGTGAAAATCATATCGTTAAAGCACTAAGCAAAATATAGACACTCAAAGTCTCATTCAAATCGGAATAACGGTTCTTAAAATATCTGAAAAAATATGTTTATTTTTTTAAAGCTGGATGCTCTCTAGCGGAAAAGCGAAGCACTTTTGTATTTTGAGGGAAATTGTGTTCAATGAACTTATTTTGATTCCAAAAAATACGTAGGAATTCTATGTCCACGAAATTTTGCGACACCCTGTATAATAAAACCAATAAACAATATCACGTATTTTTATTTTTTTTTAAATACTTGTTACCAGTTGGCTTGGAAATGACGAACGATGACATTCCCCATATAATTTTACATATAGAATGACAGCGATCTTCATTTCATAGCCATTGTTGACGCCGTTTTTTCGATTTTGCAGTTTAATCAGCACTAAAAACAGAACTAGGGCATTTAAAAACATATGTTAATTGAATATAAAATGCAAGTAAAAGTTGTATGATAATGTCTTTGTATGATGAAAAATAGCTGGTAGATAGAAATTCTTATAAGAATTTACATTCAAATATTTTTAACTGTTAAAGCCCCCTTGATCATAAAACGGAATTTTTGTCTCTTAATTTTACTTTTTTATATCCAATAGTTTTTAATTGAGTCATTTAATTCAGTTTAATATACTCGTATAATAAAAATTATCAGTGCCAATGAACTAAATGCGTATCAGATTCATTGTTTTATTATTATAGCTGCAACCGAAATTGGCCATTAAACTATTGAGCTTTGATTAAGTAGTTATAATATCAAAGTGGTTCTATAAAAATTAATTAGAGTAGTTAACATTTAGTGGTGGATTTAGGGTATAAGGACCGACATCACTATAACTGTATAGATATAACAAGATACTGGCCTTAAAAAGTTTGGTTGGTGATTAAAAAGTTTTATTATTAGGCAGGCTTGGGATGATGGCATATAAATAATTGTTAAGGACACGCAATTGCTTTAATATTATGCTATCGAAAAAAATAGTGGAAGAGTAGGTTTGGAAATGAAGATTTTTGTTATTTGATACGTAAAAGTATATGGTGAATGTTATCCGGGTATCGTCAAATAACGCTGTTTTTTTCGATAATATCGTTCATTGAAAGAATTGGGAAGATACGCAACCTAATGGGCGAATTCGTGACAGATTTGATTTCCTCTTACATCTCAAGAACTGTACGGTGGAGCCTCCACTTGTTATACAGCCAACGCATAAAACACTCATTTTCTTTAATTCGGCTAGCGAAGGCATATCGAAGACGGTGTGGAACTGAAAGCGAGAAGTGTTGCCAGATTAAAATGTTTAATATTTGTAATACGTTTGACGAAAATATCTTTAGATGAAAAATCCGCCGCGTTTATGTATTGAAAATTTATTCGTGTTAAACGTAGAATAAAGAACAAAAATAAATATTTCAGTGTTTTTTATTTCATGTAATAAAATAGATGAAACAAAAAACAATGTATCATGATTAAAATAGGTTTAATCATATTTTTCTATTATTATACTCGTAATTATATCGCCCGCTATAGACTATGGGCCCATCATACGATGGAAACTCTTAGATTTTAATGATGGGAAATCCTAATATCGATAAAAAATATTATTAACGTACCGTAACCAAAATCCGTAAATATACGGATTAATTCGTAGTTCTGACAGCACTGTCTCCAGCAACCACACACTCTGTCAACTGAAAGCAGACAGGTACAGTATTTTTATCCGCTGCGCTGTAAACGAGTAGCGGCGTAAATACGTATCAGCGCGCAGAGATAAACTAAATCTCGGACATGCTGACGGTAAGGCCAACTACACCTCGGACATCTTTTGTGTCGCGAAATTGCCCATAAGGTTGCGCATCTTTTTATTTTATAATCAACGATAATAGTCTATTCTTTATCACACAACTTGTTGATTCTACGGCATTTAGCTTGCAGGTATATTCACAGTTTAAAAATACTACCCAAAATAAAAATATTTATTTATTTTATTTAAAAGCCGATCTCCAATATACAGGGTGTTTCAAAACAAATGCCAAAAACTTTAGGGGGTGATTCCTTGTTCAAAATAAGGTTTGTTATATATATTATGTAGGATATAAAGTCAACCATTATTTAGAGATATTCGTGGTACTTCAGATATGGAAAATAATGTTTTTATTTTTTATCTTGAAACGAAAAGAGATAGACTAATGAAATTTTATGGAAGCATTACTGTTATGAAAAACACACTTTCAGGTAATTTTTTTACTTTTTAAAAATGAGTGGAAGGGGTTGAAATAAACTACCCCTATCATTTCTTGTTAACAAAATTTAAAAGAAAAATCTTATCAAACACATGCAAATGCTTTAATTTGATAGTTTAGTTTGTTTAGAAACTTTTACCTCTTTTGTGTTTTTGATAAAACTCACCGATTGGAAATTAAAAATAAAATGTAAAGCATTACATGTCAGGACAAAAAAAATATTTTTAGATTAAGAATCTAGTGATAATAACGATAATAATAATCATCTAGATAATAACGTATTGCAGTAGAGTAATGTCAAATAAAATAATATTAGGAACATCCTAAAAAGTAACAGCGGCCGACTAGATTTTTCCTAAAAAAATACAGCAGCCCACTAGATTCTTTATCAGAAAATGTTTTTGTCCTGACATGTAATGTTTTACATTTTATTTTTAATTTCAAATCGGTGAGTTTTATCAAAAAATACAAGAGATAAAAAAAAAAAAAGTTTCTAAACAAACTAAGCTATCCAAATTAATTTTTTTTTTTGCATGTATTTGATAAGATTTTTTCTTTAAATTTCGTTAACAAGAATGATAGGGGTAGTTTATTTCAACCCCTTCCACTCTATTTTTAAAAAAGTGAAAAAGTACCAGAAAGTGTATTTTCGTAACAGTAATGCTTCCATAAAATTTTATTAGTCTATCTCTTTCGTTTTCAAGATAAAAAATAAAAACATTATTTTTCCGCCATCTTTGTACCGCAATATCTCCCTAATAGTTGACTTTTGACCCAACGTTTATGAAGCAAACTACCCTTTATTTTGAACAAGGAATCACCCCCTGAAGTTTTTCGCATTTGTTTTGAAACACCCTGTATATATATATATAATGTCCAATAAAATATTTATTATTTTTGGTGTTTCTTGAGTTGCAGAGCATACAGTATAGGTACTTACTAAAAAGTCCACATGATTATACGTCGGTAATTCTAAGTTTTTAAATCTTATTTGAAAACACTAATAGGAAAATCTACTGGAAATTAATAAAACAAATCAATAATTAAACATCAATAATTTTATTAAAAATTGTATAAATATTACACAATTAATACAAAATGCAACTTAATCTAACGCTAGTTTAATTACTTAACGTTGTTATATCGGCCTCCATTAGTTAAATATTTTATAAAAACATCAATAACCAACTCTATTCATCTAGATTTATAATATATTAAAAGCAACCTTTAATTTGTTGATTAACTTTTATATATTTAACTTTAGCGCGAATAAGATTTTTTTTACATACAATTTTTAATTTACTAAATATATCTTTCAATTTGTTAATTAAATCTCTAGGTACAAAAATATGTTAATAAATAGAATTAATTTAAAATACAAATACAAAATATAATATGTCTTAACAATTTTATATAAAAGTTATAACTTGTAGAGGTATGATACACAGATTCTTAAAAAGTAACATACATAATTGGCATTCAAATAAAATCCTGAAGTTACTGAAATAAAAATCTAAAAAATTACATATTAAAAAATTCAATGAAAGAGACACTGACAAACTGTGTCCTGTCTGTATTCGACGCGACGTAGTGGCATTAAAAAAAATACTGTTTTATTTTTTAGATTTGTAGTTCAGTGGCAAAATACTCACATTTTTTTCAAAAAAAAATGTTGTTTACTCATACTATAAGTGACACACATTACTAAAATATGGTTTTTCAAAAACTATAACTAATTAGCAGAGATTCATTTTGAGCACCAACTTTACTTGAAGCATATTTATTTATTTCTACTTATAATAAGCATAAACTTTAAATGTAATTATAATTATCCTCTATATGTTGATTCCTATGTTTTAATACTAGTAAAGCAATTTTATTGTAACATATTAATATAGAATTTATTTTCTAACCGTTTATCAAAGAGATTCTTAATTTTTTTAGTCACTAATAATAATTTATATCTTAGTTTATATTGTACAATAATTAAACTTACTAATTTGGTTTAATACATTTTATACAATAATCCCATGCTTCAAAGTTATAAAAAAAATAATATCTCTACTGAGCGTCTTTATATTATAATATATTATTCCTTTAAAAGCATTTAAGAAAATATATGTACATCTATTCTTTGGAAACTTTATAAAATTTTAGTAACAGTATATTACTACACTTTCAAAAAGTGTCAATTATCAAATAAAAATAAAAATAAATGCTTTTTCTATTACCTATTTTATTTATTTAATTTGGCATAATGTCTAATAACTATCTATTTCTTAAATATTTACAAAGTGGTAAAATGTATGATTTATATATTTTACTTTTTTTTAATTGTGAAACTGAATAATTATGAAAAAGTGACTGCAAAACCCGTCGTGGCATAAAGTCGTTTTTCAATGTTACATCGGTATTTCATACATGTCCTTATATAAAATAAAGTTTTTTATATGCAACACACTATCTTTTATCTATAAAATTAAAAGAAAATAATAATAAATTTGAATAAACAATATATTTGGCGTCATAATTTCGGAAAAAGCCTAACCGCTCCGAAATTATCAAAAGCTTTGGGTCGCGACTGTTGCAAGAATAGCGCTAAATAGTATTTACATTGTTCTTATGGGCACTTTCCAATCTAAACTTGTTTCATTTTTTCTGTGACAAAAAGCTAATACGTAAATTAGCAATTATTTTTTACAAAAATACAGTTATTGTATCCACAACTCGCTAAATATTCGTACTTCAACAACCTTATGCTTTTAATCGATCGGTCTGTTCAAATTTAGCCAAGCTAACGTTCTAAGTTTTCCTCGCCACAGGCCAATATCAATCTTTTCCTCTGCTGAATCCTTTCAAATTAACTGCTCCACGCGAAATAAGTTTGTAGAGACGGTCCTGGAAATGAAAACAAGAAAAAAGGAAATTAAAAAGCTTATTTAGACAAGATACGTTTCTTCGACATATCCTGCATGACGAAATTCCTTTTATTTTTATAGGATTTATTCCATATCGTGTAGAAAAACAATTTCTTTTCGAGAAATCGACTTCTTCGACTGAGTGAATACAATATCAGAGGTATATTAACATTTTACAGTTAACTGCAATCTTATGAGAATATATGGCTACTAAAACAACTACACTTTCAAAAATAATATTATTATGATGTATAAAAATACTGAATTCGGAATCCACGAAAACATTTATTTCAGTGACTTTTTATTTCATATACCGTGTGTTGCATCTGGCATCGTCATTCAAAATATAGAAAATTTTATGCAAATTTTGTCCAAATATTAAAGGTTTGCCTATGCTGAAAAAAATATACCCAATTTTAACAATTTTGGTCAAGCCGATTTTAACTAATTTAAGAAAACCTGTATCTATTTTTAAATTAAACTGAACAGGTAACAGTGCAAAAGTAGGCAAATGTAAACATACCTTAACTTTTAACCTATGATTTCATCATTGTCAAATATAATTTGTGTGATGTAAGTGATGTTTATACTACTACATTATAGTACCCGAGTTTAGAGTCCTCGTATATATAGAAATATATTTTGTAATTTAAAATTTGTTCGAATTAGGCAAAAGCCTAACGCACAGAAACTACAATTTGACATTCGCAAAATCAGAGGTTGACAACGTATGTTGGTTTCCTTTATTATATATATAATGATTTTGCGAATGTCAAATTGTAGTTTCTGTGCGTTAGGCTTTTGCCTAATTCGAACAAATTTTACGTAAATAATTATGAAATGTAATTGTAATAATTAATTAATTAAATCATTGTAATAATTATGACGTAAATAACTATGAAAACTGTCGCAAACATATTTTAACTTCATACAGAACCTCGCAATTAGTGGAATAAATTAGGGGTTTCAATTACACTTTATACTTTTTATTGACAATGTCTAAAAAATACAAATAAAATTAACAGAATATTCTAGCAACATCTTGCGGTAATCAGTTGCATCAATAGAGAAAGCCTAATATTTAGGAATAAATATATATAATAAAACAATAAAATTTTGATTTCTAACTACATTTTCAATTGACGGATGAAATAAAAGGCCAAAATGGCATTCCTTGTAAAGTATAATTAGTGGAAAAGTTAAAAGTTTGGTAAATTTTTTCACTAATTGAAAATTCCTACCACTAATTTTAACGTTCTGAATGCTTACATTCAAATTAGAGAAACGAACCTGGCAATTAGTGGAATAAATTAGCGGTGTCAATTAGCGTAGAAATTTGTTCTTTTAATTTCAATGTACCTAAGCACCCAGAACGTCAAAATTAGTGGTAGTCATTTTAAATTAGTAGAAAAAATTAACAGCCTTTTAACTTATCCACTAATTGTACTTCAAAATTTACGAGGAATGTCATTTTGGCGGCCCAGATGTTACAGCACTATATAATAGTATATCTAGTGACTTAAGCACCATTAAATCTTGGTGTGATTCTAATCTCCTATGCCTCAACCTTTTAAAAACTAAAGTTTTTTCATATAAAAGTACTATACAACCTTTTGTACTTAATAACACCACTATTGACGTCGTGGACTCTGTGAGATTCTTAGGACTTGTAGACAACTCGTTAAAATGGGACTTGCACATCGAAGCTTTATCAAAGAAACTAAGCGCCGCCTGTTTTGCGCTAATATCAGTTTCTAAGGAACTTAACTCATCAACCTCTAGAATAGTCTATTATGCCCTTTTTGAGTCGCATCTTCGTTATGCTCTTCCATTCTGGGGTACTTGCTGCGCGACAAAATTTGATCGTATTATCAAACTTTAAAAGAGAGCAGTTCGATACTTATTGGGACTAAACAGTAGAACTCACTGCCAGAATTTCTTTAAAAATTTCAAAATACTGACTCTTCCTTCCTTATTCATTTTGAATCCGTTTGATTAATCCGCAAGCACATATTCTCTATTCCGGAAAGGCCTTCTCACAACTATCTACTTAAGGAATGCGGAGCACGATATTTATCTGCCAACCCCGAGCTCAGAACTAGTTAAGGGCTCAATACTGTACAATGCCAAGAAAATGTACAATCATTTGCCTTCGAATATCAAGTCACTTTCATTCTTTCCCGCATTTCGCAAAGCTCTGAAATCATACTTACTGGGGAGAGCCCTATATACGGTAAACGACTTTTTTGTTGATGTTTAATCATAAACAATTTTGAATTTTAAAATTTTGATCATCTCACGCACTGGTTAAAGATCTAGTATTTAATATTTTATAACTCTTGATTTTATGATATATAACATGATTTTATCTATTTACAGTTTTCCTTTTGTAAAATTTTCTAGATACGCCTGTGTTCTGCAATGTCCATATATGTTTTATTTGTAATTTTATGACGTAATTTTTTAACATTGAAAATGTTTCTGTTATCCTATATAACGGAGCCCAAATCGAATTAAAATGCTATATTTGCCACACCATGACGTCATATATACAAGGGTATAGGAAATCTCGGCGCAGCGGCGACAGTCGGCCAGCGCGCGCAAAAACCATTACATCGCTAATTGTTTATTGATATATCTTTATTAGTTTAAAAGAAAAAAATATGGGGTTTGCTTTGATACCTTGTCAAGACATAAGCGAAACTTTTAAATTGTTTCTTTTTTTTTTCATTTAGGCCTTCGTTTTTCGTTAAATGAAAGTTATATTAAAAAAGTCTATTTTTTAAACCAAATTTTCGTGCATGATTGAAATGAGTTATTCATGTTTAAAGTTTTTTTTGGTCATAAGCGCTAATGGAAATGTTTTTTGTAAATAATTATTAAAAATTACTCCCTACGAAGACTTTATTGTGTACTGGACCAAAAATAAGTATTTGTTTTCTCTATACGGTGGTATTAATATATCGATTTTTGATGATAGTGCCCTTTTACCCGGTCTAATTTTGTACTACTTTCGGAATAAGGGTCCCCATATCATGTACTGTACTTCCATCCCTGAAAAATTCAGCTTGTGACACCGAAGTGAGAGGTAACGTCAAAATAAGCTTTAATCTACCTACATCATAGGTAGGTGTAGGTACTCTAGGTATATTATACCTAGACAGTAGCTGAACTAGCTGACAGTAGTAATTAATTTGTTATCCGATAAGTAGTTGTCATTATATAAGTTTAATCATCTTATACTCCTATAACGGTAGGTTTTGGATTTTTCCTGATTGGTTTGTTAAACAAAAATATACTGGGCATATAAATGTCTGTTACTGGTTAATTCGTTAAAGAAATATGTTACACACATATTATTTTAATAATAATAGTATAATAGTAATGGCTATATTATGTAACAAACAAAACACATACATATGTATTGATAGTACTTATACCAATGCATTGTTTTGTTTTTTTAATCTCACAAATAAGAAATGTTTTATAGTTTTTATTATAAAAAACAGTGATTATACAATTTATTTACACCCCTTACACTGTTTTCTGTAAGGGGGTGTAACCAGGGAGTATATTTCGTAACCTCTTACGATATAAGAGGGCACAAAGTGTTTTATTACTTAATGCTTAAAATTTAATAATATATTTGTACATAAAATAAAATAGACTAGAAAGCCAATTAATTAATAATGACGTAATTACTAAATAAGTACAAGATTTTTTTTCTAATTATTTTAGTGTATTTTTAGTCACCTAATTATAAAGGAGAGATATCCAACCATTGCATTATTTTACTCACAAATAAATGTTTTATGGTTTTTATTATAAAACAACGATTAATTTATTATACACCCCTTAACCCAAACACACCAAAGGAGGATATTTCGTGACCCCTTATTTAAAGTGGACAAGCTTTATTAGTCAATGTTTTAATTACCCAGCGTCTTTAATAAAAATCTAATGTAATTTTCATAGAAATGATCTGACATAAAAAAGCAAATTTTATCAAAAACTTTTTGATTATCTACAAGGAGTAAACCGCTGACAAATGTCTGTATACTAATGCCAAAGTAATGCCAAAAATACAAATTAAATACCAAAATTTCTCATATAATGCCCCACTAATGTCAAGCTGATTCCAATATAATACCACTAATACTACGAATAATATGTAACACATTTGTTTCACGCATTAACCTGTAACAATACTGGTAGGTACGTGCATAGATTTTTTCCTAGGTAACTTAAAAGTCGTTAAAAAGTCTAATTATATTTAAAGAAGATATAATTCCAACAAATTACATTATAAGGCCAATAATGCACAAGTAATACCATTAAAATTTTAGCGTTTTTAACTTGTGTAACATATTTCTTTAACGAATTAACTTGTAACAATAGTGGCTAAGAATTTAGTAATTTAAAAAAAAGTCTTTTAGATACAGTAGTAGGTATTAAAAAGTTTTGTGTTTAAATGGGGTTTGCCTTTAACAGTTAAAAAGTTATATTGTAAAGTGTAACTTTCCATAAGAATTCTTTTTTTTGCTTGCTTGTTTTACGGATAGGTGCGATCGCATTATTATTATTGATAATGTATTATTTAATTTTAACATTACTACTTTTTCAGTGAATCTTTAAATCTGTTGTTTTTTGTTAAGTTCGTTATTTAAATATATGTATGTAATACACTCATATTAACACTAATCATATTTTTACGTTTTTATTCATCATTTTCAATGCCCCCCCGGTTGCATCTTTGTAAAGGACTGTGAATTTTTTGAATTGATTTGTATTGTATGACATTTTTTTATTATGATTATTGTTAGTTCCCAGTAGTTAATATGCAGAAAAAAAAATCGTGGGTGTTTGGGAAGGCTTGAAAGGAAACAATGTTTTTGCGACGTTTCGCGACTTTATTGTCGCTTCTTCAGGCACCAAAACATATATTAATCCACATTATGCCTACAAACATTCATGGCGACTCCAACCGCCCACACTAAGACACATACAGACGAATCGTTAAGTTTCTGTTCGATTCGTCTGTATGTGTCTTAGTGTTGGCGGTTGGAGTCGCCATGAATGTTTGTAGGCATAATGTGGATTAATATATGTTTTGGTGCCTGAAGAAGCGACAATAAAGTCGCGAAACGTCGCAAAAACATTGTTTCCTTTCAAGTCTTCCCAAACACCCACGATTTTTTTTTCTGCATTTTTTTTATTATTTGTATATTTGTTTTTGTGCTTTTCTGTTTTGTGAATGCTTTGGATGAAGCTGTTTTGGCTTTTTGTACAATAAAGCGTTGTTTTTTTTATAAGCTAAAGATTAGGCGCTCTGTATAACTGACTAACACAAGCTGTTGCTAGGATATTCTATTCGAATTGTGTTTTTACACATTGTGAGTGATCGTAAACTAAAAAGTATAAAGTGCTTGAAATCAATTGAAACCACTAGTTATTCCAACAAGCGTCGTCACACTATTATGACAAGGTTATGACAATATGATGGCAATGAAAATTTGGAACCTATCATAGGAACCATAGGAGCGTTTTATAAGTGCAATAATAAAGGTTTGAAAATTGCATGTCGTGATGTCAAAGACATCGTTTTTAATGCTAATTGGTGCTAATCTTATGACGTTTATGCATCCACGTAAGTATATATGATTTAGGGTTGGCATATACCTAGTTTTGCATTGTTTGTTTGACCTGTTTAACCTGTTGAGTTTCAATTTAAAATTAAATGCAGTTTTTCTTAAATTAAATCGGCTTGTCCGTTGTTGTTGAAAATTGCCCAAATTTGGCATGCATATTCAGCATACGCAGACCTTTAGAAAGCCTATTTACAACTTAGATGTTATATTAACAGGGGAGCCAATATCTGGACAGTTCAAAATTTGCATGCGATTTCCTGCTTCGAACGACGATGCACCACCCGCTATAATGTAATTTATTTCGTACAATACCTGATTTTTTGTAATTTTATACAGGTTTGTTCACGATATACGACACGGAGTATTGTAGCAAAACGATTAGATTTTTGCAAATTGTAAGTTTTGGATTCGTTGAAGGACTATTAGAGCTACAATTTAGTTTTTTTACAAGATACAGAGTGTCCCAAATAAATAAAAGATATCAAAGTTGTATTTTTTTAAATACACAAATACACCCTGTATATTATTACATTTTTAGTTTCTACGATTGAAATAAAGGTAAATTTGATTAAGGTTTACCACATTTTAATTTTACCGTTTTAAACGCCGTTTTATCGTTTTTGAAATATCTTCAATTTCACAAAATTGAAGATATTTCACAAACGGTAAAATTTAAGTATGATAAACCTTAATCAAATTTACCTTTATTTTAATCGTTGAAACTAAAAATGTAATAATATACACGGTTATATAATATACTCATTTAAAAAAAATACAACTTTGATATTTTTTATTTATTTGGGACACTCTGTATATTATAAAAATATTTTTAAATCGAGTTTTAAATTGTAGCTCTAATAGTCTTTCAACGAACCCAAAACTTACAATTTGTAAAAATCTAATCGTTTATCTACAATACTCCGTGTCGTATGTGGTGCACAACCCTGTATAATAACTAGGAATTTTATACGATGTCGGGTTTCAAAGTCTATGATGAATCGTTTTTGGAATTAATAGAATTAATAAAGCCATGATAAAACAATTTTTTTCTCAAGAAGACACTTTAACCTTGAGTGTTTACGTGAACATGTCAACTTATTAAGGAACAGCCACTGTAATAATATTAATTTTGTAGTAACTGTAACTTATTTCCAAAAAGATGATGTTCAATTAGTCATAAATCTTGTATTGTCATATCTTTAACTACAATATTCCTTTCTAAACATAACTTTTTATTAATATAATTTATCTATTTTATATTGTAAAGTTCTTTTGTATAGCTAGAATTACCTGCAAGCCTTAGCTTTGGGAGTTCAACATCAAGACGAATTGCTCTCCTGCTGGATGCTGCTAGTGCCGTCCGAAAGCCTCTCCTCTAATTGCTGCCGGGATCCGTGCAGGAATTTGAATCTGGGCGCTGTCGATGGGGTTCCCCCCGCTGTCGTTATCACCGTCTCGCTGGATTGGCGCATTTTACGGTTGCTGAATCGAAAGTAGCCCTTCAAGCGCTCCTTCGACGTCCTGCAATGAATAGATTTTGGTTGTAAACAGAAATCTGTAATTTATCGGTTTTGGTTTTTTTTTCTCTCGTTTATTATTAGATAAGGTAATGTAGTGTAAAAATGAGACCTTTTGAAATTTTTAGTATTTTTCTTAGAATTTCTTCTATAAAAAGCGTTGGTAGAGAAACTATTGCAAAAGTAAAAATATACCAAAAGTATGGCTAAAAGGTCAGTATGTAGAAAAGAGTGTGACACATTTAACCGATAAAGAGTCTACAAGAGTTGATTTTATTGTGAATTAGATAGAATAGATATTTGAATGAGATTTTGGATGTCTATGTTTTGCTAAGTGTTTTCACTTTTACAAAAATCAAGAAAAAGTACGGGAAGGGAGAAAACTACCCTCGCCCGACGACAGATACTCCACCGAACTCCAACGAACTCAAACGATAACAGATATTTCTTAAAGTTGGGTGCCCTCTAACGGACAAACGAAGCACTTTTGTATAGAGGTAAATAGTATCCAATGAACCTTTGAATAAGAAGACTAAGGAAGGAGCATATCAAAAATCTTAGGACCACCGCGATGGGACTCAAATATGGCCGACTTAAATTCCGGTTTATCAGTGCCGTTCTAATTTTATTTAAAAAATATAAAACTATGATGTAGGGTAGACGCGGGGTAGACTCAATAATATTTTTTTTATAAAAACATATTATTATAATAAAATTACATAAGTTTTAATAATTATTTATTAACACAAACATCCGATACGCTACTGAAACAGGTAAGTCAAATTGATGAATCTAAATTCTTTGACATCTAATCTTTGACAAGTAATAAATAAAAGCGAAAATGCAAGAGAAAATATATAATTAGTTCATTTAAGTGAATTTCATAAATGATCGATTTACTACACGTATGTATATTATATAGTCAAATAGTCACTTATTAGCGAAAAGTTGTTCCATTATTTCACTCGATTTATGCCGAGATCTACCGCACGCTACACAACCAACTATTTTAGAGTCTTTTTCGATAAATCGCGATAGTGTCACTGTTAATTTAAGTTCTGCCACAATTTCCATCTAGATTTACTACCTTTATACAACTATCAGTAGTAGAATAAATAACCTAAAATAAGCTCCGTAAAGACTGACAAATCCACAAAATTTCAAATCAAATTCAAATGTGTCAAATGAATCGTCAAACAGAACTCTCAAGGTTCCCCACCGTCCTTTTTCCGCCTACCATGCATGAATACATGGATAGCATTATGTTCCTTCCTTAGTCTTCTTATTCAAAGCAATGAACTTATTTTGATTCCATAAATACGCAGTAGTACCACAAATTACCTATAACAGATGCGAAAGAACACCGAATTACGCGTTCAGGTTTCTGTGACCTTCAGAAAGAGTTCATAGACAATCCGCATCAATGTATAGTTTGGGTTATTATTTGTTTGGGTGAAAATAATCTGCACCAATATGTTATCGAGGCATACAAAAAGGTCCACAGACTTCGAGACATACGAAAAATCAAGTCCATTTAGCGTGTGTCGCAATTTTCACACCTTAAAAAATTAGTTTTTTATAGCTATAGCAACTGCAGCGACTATGAAAAAAGCTGTGTGAATTTCATAGAAAATAAGGGCACCTGTAATTCATTTGAGAATGTTATAAATCGCTAAAAGAGGTTTCAAATCTCTTGGATTTCTATTAATATTAAATAAATGTTATTAAAAATTGAACTAAAATTGTTAGTATCATTAAAAACAATTCAAATTCAAAAATTGTATCAGTCAAATTTCCTCATTTAAGGTGAATATTAAAGTAAATATAAAAACAGCTCATTCTAAGCTCTACTTATCTTTAAGAAAAATTTAAATCATTGTTGCAATTGGGCCTTAATGCCATTTCGAATGAACAATAGTATTAATAATGTACATTATAATAATAATAAATTTTATATCATAGTGTGTATTAAAACTACCAAAACCCTTTTAAATTGATATTATATTAACAACTTTTGTTTTTTAATCCAAAAAAAAGTTACCAATTTTCTCAATCAGAATATTTGCGGTCCTGAAAAGGACCTCCGTTTTCCCATGTCCGTCAAGGTAGGTAATGGGTAAACGGTAAAAAAACAGGATAATGAAATTTAAAAAATTACAAAAATTGTTCAAAAGTGCCTCCCTCTTGCATTAAACAATAACCCAAATGATCATAAAATCCCCTCCACACATTGGATAACATATCAGGGGTGACAGTGTCAAAGGCATTAAATATTTTCTGTCTTAACTGCTCCAAGTTTTTAATTTCTTCATGGCCGTAAATTTTAGATTGTATGTACTCCCATAAAATCATTCACCGAGAAGTCAGGCGAAATTAAATGTCAGTCTAAACAAAACTGTAATTTTTGAAAACTTGTCAAAATTTGGACACACGCTAACTGGACTTGATTTTCCTATGTCTCGAAGTCTGTGGACTTTTCTGTATAATCTCACAGTAATTTAATAGATTGCTCGTCATATTATATCAGCTCGTAGGAGATTAGGAAAAAAAAAGATATTTATAGTTTAAAAAATAATTTATTTAACAAAATTTAATTAAAGACGTGACAAAATAGTTACATTTCTATTGGTTCTATCGGACTTTTTTCGACTGTATAAATCTTTATTTTTTGTACTAACTTTAATGCATAAAATATTTTCAATCTAATAAATAATTTAATGATGTAAATAAGAGGAAATTTCTCACATGGGTGGTCAAATTCTATAGTTTTCATTATATCAAACAGCCTCTGAATGTTTTATTCAGTGCAAAACTCATCAAAATTTAATATAAATAATTTTTCCAGCCCGTCAAAAAAAAATGAACAAATTTTTCCACTTTCATGATCAAAGGCTTTTAAATGGGTAAATAATTTCGAGTTATCCAGAGATTCGGATTCTTTTGCAAATTTTAGACAAATATCACATTGATGTATTTGAAGACCCTTTTTAATGATGTAGTCAAACATAATTAAAGGCATTTTGAGTTGAAAACATTTCTCAGAGACTGTTTGATATAATGAAAACTATAAAATTTGACCACCCATGTGAGAAATTTCCTCTTATTTAAATGATTTATTAGATTGAAAATATTTGATGTATACAAATATAGATTTATATAGTCGAAAAAAGTCCGATAGAACCAATAGAAAAGTAACTATTTTGTCACATTTTTAATTAAATTTTGTTAAATAAATTAATTTTTTATACTATAAATATCTTTTTTTCCCTTACACATTTGCATCCCATTTTAAATAAGATATACAAATTACCAAAACTTAGAAATAACAGTTCAAAAGTTCAACAAAAATCCTACACGCGTTTTTAAAAAGAAACATATAACCACGCACTATGTCATTCCAGCAAGCGAATACGACACAGCATAGGTTTCCGGACTAAACGACTGGTGTATTTACACAACTCAATAGGCGTGTCGGGTTTGCCGAGCGGTTTCTGATGCAGTCGCTTTCTTTCGCATCTGTTATAGGTAATTTGTGGTAGTACTATGTCAACGGAATATTGGAAAACCTTGTATAAGACACTCACTGAACAAAATCTACCTTTAAAGGCCCTATTATCGTTTATATTATATGTTGAAGTAAATATGAAAGTAGAAGGATAAAAATTAGACACAGATTTTTGAATAGAAACTTCTTTACGCGCGATGAGAGTAAAAATTGAAGGCCGTGACACGGTCGGGACACAAGAGACGCGAGAGGAAAAGTGGTAACGTTGACTTATTTATCTTGGAGCGTCGGAACTAGGACCTTATGTGAGCTAGGGGGCTGAAATACGGAATGTAGATGTCAATTTTCATGATATTTTGACGACGTTTCGTGCACTACGAAACCCCATCATCAATGAATCAAATTAAAAAATCTGTCGATTTAAATGAAATTTGGTATGTCGATAGATTGGACCGGACCAAGGCCAACTTTTCCGTGTACGACAGATGTCACTGTGATAGGTTTGGCGTAAGAAACATCAAAAGTTGAGGTCGTCCGATCGCCACCAAATTTGGTGGTTAGCAATGGTGCACAGGGTCCCATCCCAGCAAAGTTGGATACGACGTTTCGTTCATATCTTCATCAGGATGGGACTGAGAATTTGATATTGAAGGAAAATATGGGTCGATTTTGGCATAATTGGGGACGGGCTACAGGATGACGCCCTCAACGTTTCGAACCAATGCGATGCCTCTAAATGGGCGAAATCATCAGGATTGTTTTTAATTCTAGGTAGATTGGAACCAAACTCGGTATGTGGATAGATGTACCTGAATGGACCGTACTCAGACGGACAGACAGAGAGACGGAAGTAAGTTTCACTTCAAATCTGCGCACATAGTGTACACACAATTTTTTTATTAGAAGTCAAATAATAATAAACTAATAAAGAACACTTGCATATAGTTCAAATCAAAATTAGAGTGTCGCAAAAAAATTATAAATTGAAAAAGAAGAGAAATATATGATAAATGAAGAGAAATGAGATATATATTAAAATATTAACAGTGAAAGAAATACAATAATTATATCAATTAACGAATTAAATATTTCACAAAATTTATTGAAACAATGAATTTGTAATTTCAATGATTCATCACACAAAATTAAACAAATTATGGGGATGATCTCTCAACAATTATTGTTAAATGTTCCTATCAAGAAAACTGACTGAATATAAGTTTTCAATAGTTTTAGCGTGTCTCGTTTAGGCTGCGTGCCTCATTCAAATTGTCTCATTTTACACTACTTGTAAAGTAGGTAAGATTATTAGGTAACGCAGTTAGATTTTCCTTGTCTAAAAATCAAAATATATTAAGTCCATCATTATATTTACGTTGCGTTGATTTATCTGACAAATTTGACACTTCCCATTTGAAATGTTGAAAAGTGTCTGCTAAATGTTGTTTGAAGATTTAAGAAGTTTAATGTAATATTTTTTATCTAGCAGTCAAATTTTGTCATTCTACAATTATTTTATCTTTTCAATATACCATGTAAAAATATTTGATATTAGCTGACCTGGCTACAACAATGAAGCCTTGGTGAAGCGAGATACTTTTTTTGCTAATATCTCATCCCGCCACGAACTCGCGTGAATGAGCAGTGTGTGTTACTAGATTTGACATTATTGCCATGAAACAACAGCACGACAGAGTTTCCAGACGCTACACCCATCCATTCACTCTCATCGCCTAACTTCAGTGATCTATCCGGAACCGGTGTTTCAACGTAGCTGGGCCGTTGCCCATTATAATAAGAAAAAATGATTCATTTTGTGAATCCTAGATTAGTTTTTTAGCTGTAATTAGAGTCTTATATTACTTACCGGCTCATTTGCCAACAAGCAAACATAGGTGGAGTTAGACAAGTTGGTAGGAATGCCAGCCACACAAATAGGACATAAGTGTAGTCAAAATGGCGACTATTCTCATACGTCTCAACTAAAGCCAATCTGAAAATAAAGAAAAATATTAACATAGAACCTAAAATATCAGGTTTAAAATAATTTAAATTTAATAAAGGAGCGATATATCTAAATTGGTAGAAAAGTAGTGACATTTATTTTTAATTTAATGTTATATTTACTTATTCTTTCTGTACCAACAAAGGATTAAAAATAGATGGAGAATATTTTAACCATCTAAGATTCGCTAATGATATAGTCCTAATTGCCACTAGTTCTGAAGAACTCACACTCACAAGCACAAATGAACGAACTAAATAATAGAAGCTCGCAGTAAGATAGGTACTACTACAACTTAACCTAACTCAAAATGAATTTAGCAAAAACTAAAGTAATGTACAACGAACGAAAAGACAGAAAAAAATAGTAGACAGTAAATAACACAACACTGCAAAATAGTAGAACAATATACAGATATATCAACAACTAATACACATTCAGGATCGCTACTACCGGAAGAATGAAGTTAGCATGGAATACTTATGGAATAAATTCAATTATATTCAAATCTAATCTAGAATGCCACTTTATCTAAAGGAGAAGACATTCGATCAATGTATATTACCAGTAATGACCTATGCATGCGAAACCTAGACACTTAAAATGGACATCATAAGGAAACTGCAGGTCGCACAACGTTCAATGGAACGAAATATATTCTGGGAACAATCAAGAAAGACCATAAAAGAATAGAGTGGATACGACAAAAAACCTAGGTAATAGATGTCATCTACAGAATCAAATTTCTCAAATGGCAATATGGGCAGGATACCTAGCAAGAAAGACGGACAACAGATGGACCACCAAAATTACAGCATCGTACGCACGAGGAATTAAGACACCTAGAAGAAGACCCAACCTAAAATGGGACCATGCTATTAGGATATTAGCAGGGATAACTTGGGCTCGCATAGCCAACAATAGACAACAATGAGCCCAACTATAAAGAGAGTATCTAAATATGTGATGGAAGCTACCCGATAATTAGAAATGGTTATAGGCCAGGAAACGGGCACCAAAAAATACCGCAATTCGGAAAAAAATAGTGTCAAAGAAATTATTGTTTTAAGTGGTAGGGTTGACCCTTAGAAGTAACATACCAAAAGTCCCCAGCCATAGACCTTGTTGGTTAGCCGTGGGGGGAGGGGGAAGGGGTGAAAAGGGCCGGTTTATATATTTTTCGTTATTATCTCGAAAACTAAACATCCTAGCGAAAAAAATGTTCTATACAAAATGAAAGTAAATTCAATTGTTTACAAAAAACAATTAAATTAAAAATTGAACAAAAATAAAAAAAGGGTAAAAGCAGGAACTCTATTACTAAGACTTCGGCTGTCCGTCCGTCCGTCCGTCTGTCACAAAGGTCTATCTTATTAACTGTTATATAGCTAGAGAGTTGAAATTTTTATAGATAATGTATCTATGTTGCCGCTATAAGAACAAATACTAAAAACAGAATTAAATAAATGTTTATAAATAAAAAAGTACTTTCACTATTATTTCAACATTATCTTTTAAGTAAGAATTTTACAAAGAATCTTTCAAGTCCCCGATGGCCGCGTGGTTAAAACGTTAGGACTTTACGCTGCTTTGAGGTTGGAGCCGTAGTAAGGCAGGTTCGAATCCTAGTCAATGCGACTTTTTTTTAATCGTTTTTTTTAATTTTTACATATTTATTTTTACTCTTTACATATTTATTATTGCTTAATACAATTTTTAGTAATGTGTTTCTTCATTTTTTTTAAATTCCGAGTCCGACTCGCACTTTTTTTTAACATCTTACTCTTACTAAGCAAATTTAACATTTTTGGTTTTCTGTATAGCAAACAATATATGTACTAACTTTTTTTACTTAATTAGCAAATTGTAAAGATGCAGGTATGTTTATCCAGTATAAGAGTTACTGAGAAACTTAAAACAAACTTTTTTCAATATATCTCAAAATCTCCAACAGTGTAAAATATTTTAGGCAATGCCAAATATCAATACCAAAATAAAGTAAAACATATCTGAGATGCCGAAATGGAAAAAAATACACATTTCTGAATAAAAAAATGTATGTCATATTTTCTCGTCTGTATGCTTATCTGTCCTTTGCCAGGAGAAGCTAAATAAAGAGAGACGTCTGAAACATTCTTTCTTTATTTTTGATGTTCCCTAAAGGACAATTTTCAAGTTGTTAGGGCGAAGCGTTCTTCCGACGGAAAGGTAAAAGATATACTTACAGAAGTTTTATGAGAAAGCAAATATTTTGAATATAAAAAAAGAAAAAAAAGTTTGAAATACGCCTTAAGCAAATATTTTTTTAAAAACAGGAAAATATTTGGTAGGTACACAGATAACAGGTATTATCATAAAAAAGTTCCAACACTGGTCGTATTTTTAAACAAAAATTTAATGTGTAACTTTCATTTAAGAGTTTATTGTTTGGAACATCATATAGATGAGCGGATGTTGTAGATGTTGAGTAGTTTGGAACAGTGTGTCTTCATTGTTATACTTCGATATGCTAAGATTTCCACTGTCCTATACTGGGAGTCCCAGAAATAAGTGCAAGTACGTTAACTGGTAGAATAATTCGATCCCAGACACTTTTCTTTGTGAAAAAAAAATTTGAAAATTTTATATTTTTCTTGACATTTTCCGGAAACTATTGAAAAACTTTTGAGCGCTGTTTGTTCAGTTTCCGGAAATTTGTTTCTAGTGCTTGCACAGAGGATGCAATGTTGCCTCCTCTAAGTTATCCACATTTTGTATGTTTATAAGCTATACGTTCAGATTTTTAAATCTCGACAAAAAAATTAAATTTTATTCATTGTATATTTTTTAATCTACATCTTTATTTTCTACATTTGTGAAGAATTTTGTAAAATCTATCAGAAAAAATGATAATATCTCGGATAATACCTATATAGGGTGTGCTAATTAAAAAATTTGAGATTCAGAAAAAAAAACAAATTTCGGTTATTGTAAAATTTGTCCCTAATTCCATTATAATCTATTTTAGACAAAAAGTTTTCAGATAAAAGTTGTAGATAATCACATCCTTAATGAAATTGTGCTCTCTGTTTTTTTTAAAGCCTGTAATTTTTGACATATAACACAAACATATGTTTTTTTAAATGGAAATCATAGTTGGCTATGACTCCATAAAAAGTGCCGTTTTTTTAATTTTTTCAGCGATATAAGCTATAATATGTTTTTTTTTTCGAAAAATTACTGAGTTATAGCCAATTCGTATCAATTTTAAACAATTTCACTTAGTTAGCCATGGAAACAAGTTCAATCGTCGTTGCTCTCAGAAATGTCAAACTGTTACATGCATACTTGAAGTATGCATGTACATATAAATTGAAGTAAACAAAAATTGTAAATATGAATTTTTCAAATGAAGAAAAGCGCGTAGGATTAATTGTTCACCTTTTCTTGGCCACACATTTTCGAGGATACGTTGGCCGGTGAACGTTTCTTACGCTTTTTAGAGAACAGTTTTTAAGATATGTTAGAAAAGTTAAATTTAGAGACTCGCGCATCAATAGAGTGACTTTCTTTATGACACTCCCTCCCATAATAAAAGAAATGTTAAAAATTATTTATATCATAATTATGCAAACTCAGGGATAGGAAGACGTGGGCCAATTGCATAAGCCTCCTCGATCACCTGACCTATCCATTTTAGATTTTTTTATGCGGTATGGTTAACAACAAGGTTTATAAAAGAACTTATGAATTAAGAGAGGCACTCGAAGAGGCAGTATGGGAGAAGGTTAATAAAGGCGACCGGTCGTTCTGTGAGAAAAGCTAATAGGTAAGGTCGGGTATTTATGAAATTTCTTGTAAAGATTGTAATCAGAAATATGTTGGGCAAACTAGAAGATCAATATTAACTAGATTTAAAGAACATTTAGCTCAGATAAGATATGGTAGACCGGATAAATCTTGCGTTGCCGAACATATTGTTGACAAAGAACATTGTATAGATCTTAATAACTTGAAATTAATTAAACAAGTCTCAAATTACAGGCAATTAGATGCATATGAAAGCATCAGAATTAATAAATGTAAAGATAGTATGAACAGAGACAACGGTCCAATTTCTTCAAGTTTCTTTGTTCCTACTACTCTAGTGGCGGAAATCTAACTGTTACGCTCGGTGGGTTCTCGGTTGGCTGGATCTTGCCACGCCCACTCTATGCCCACTGAGTGAGTATATAAACGCTCCAATTGTAGATTGTATTTTAGTTAATAATCATCTGCTGATGATGCTAACATGGTTAGCGAAACGCGCGTCCAGTGTAAAAGTGAAAGTGTTTGGGTGTATTGTGGTGATTTAGTGTTTTATTTTGCTAACAACAAGGTTTACAAAAGAACTTATGAATTAAGAGAGGCACTCGAAGGGGCTGTATGGGAGAAGGTTAATAAAATTGACCGGTCGTTCTGTGAGAAAAGCTAATAGGTAATTCAGTTTTAAAAAGAGGCATTTATGTACTCAAAACAATGGCGGTTTTTTTGAACATTTTCTAAAATAACTTAAAATGTAGTGATATTATTTTTTTAAGTTTTAGTTTGTGTAATGGAGATTGTAAAGAACTGTTTAATTAAAAATTTTGTTTTTATATAAGTTATAAATCATAACAAAATAAGAATACCATGACAACTAAGTGAAATTAGTTAAGAAAGATATTAATTGGCCATAATTCAGTAATTTTTCAAAAAAAAAAAACATATTATAGCTTATATCGCTGAAAAGCTTAAAAAATTGAGATTTTTATGAAGTCATGGCCAACTATGGTTTCCATTTAAAAAAACAAGGCAAGCTTTAGAAAAAAACGGACAACACAATCTCATTAAGCATGTGACTATCTACAACTTTAATCTGAAAACTTTTTGTCTAAAATAGATTAGGGACACTTTTTAAAATAGCCGAAATTTGTTTTATTCGATATATCTAGTAAGCCATAAACGGTATGTCACATAGTATACCGTATTAGTTTACCGAATTCATTTTAATACCGTAGGGTATTCTGTCGTCTCATTTGAATAATTGCTCACCTAGCCAGCCGCATGACCATGAGGGGCAGCACGCAGATGGCGTACATCGTGATAATGGATCCCAGGTATTTTTGCGTCCGTTTCTCCCTCGTCACGTCCAGCTCGGACTCCTGGACCTCGTAGCGGGTGCGGCAGCTCTCCTGCTCCCTGAAACTTTCGGGGCTGTACTGGCTGTTGCGCTCGTAGTCGCCGCGGTTGCTCCTGAAAATTTAATTAAAGAAGCAGGATAAGTAAAGCGGAGATACAGGTAGCATTTTAATAAAAGAGTTTCGTCTACACAAACGGTGTCTGCAATACGTTGGAATGGGAATAAAAAATAAATATATTCTTGCTAGTATTAATATTAATATAAATTTTATTAAATATCTTAACAGTGTTAAGCCTTAATTAGCACATCGGAATTAGTGATTTCAATTACACTTTATATATAGTTCATACCAATTCAACTTTTAGGTACGCTTGACCGGCACAGCGTTGCCCACTTTTACATATTTTCTTTTAATCAAAATATTTTCGGAAACAACGCAGTTATTATTTACATCAATAAAACTCACCTTCTTAACAGCACAGGGACATTAAGGGCAGTTACTACCGCTTTCCTGTTAACGTATTATTCTAATAAGGTTGCGATGAGTTTTTTTACGGCTATTCAGCTATCTTGTATACTTCGCACTAAAAGAGGTTCTAAAAAGAACAATATTCAACTGTAAAGTCTTCTAGTAAAAAAAAATAAGCTGAAAGTATCACAACACAATTCATTTGAACCAAAAACTCGCAATACAAAACTAAAATGTCAGAAAATAAATAAATGAATGTGGCAACTTGCCATTTTTTACAGCAGAGTTACCACCTGAATCCCCAACGGGAAATTTAAATTCCAGTTAGTCAGCACGGTGCCGAATCTGTCCAATGGTTGGCAACAATGAGTTTAAAAATCGCGCCCTCGATTACGTAACTAAATGTTTAATTGGTATGGCTTATACTTAAAAATTTACAATGTCTCAAAAATACAATTAAAATTGAGAGAATATAGTACAATTTTGATTTCTAACCACAATTTCACTTGACGGATGATAATCAAAGGCCAAAATGACATTCGTCGCAAATTTTGAAGTTTAATTAGTTTAGAAGTTTTTTAATTAGTTAAACTCTCTGGTTTACTTCATTTCGACTGTTTTTAATTAGTTAAACTCTCTGGTTTACGTCATTTCGACTGTTTTGAATAGCTTCATTTTAAAATTTTATGTTTTTTTTCAAATTTTCAGTCAGATACTGTAACGATCGGCTCTGGGCCCGAATTCTGTAACATAGAAAGCGCTAAGTACTTTTACGCTTCGTCCTACGTGGTTAAAAAGCGCGCTATTCGGGCGGTGCGAGCGACGCGTATTTATCAAACAACATTTTCTTACGAAGCTGTCCTAGGTAGGAGATACGCGCAAAGTCGCGCGACTGAAGCGGCATCGAAGATGATTGCGCTCATCGCTCTCTATTGTCGCACGCGTCGCCCGCTCACTTTTGCCTAGTGATGGGAATAATCGAATTATTTTCATCATCGAATAATTAGTAATAATTCATATTTCACAATCGAATTAATAATTCGAATTATTTAGTAGTATTATAAATTTAACCTAAAAATAAATTCGTCCCAGCTAGTGCTCGTCTAGGGGCTATTTTAAACAAATTCTGAACCATTGCCATACCTATATTCTATCACTGAATAAAAAATAAAAAAAAATTCTTTATTCAATGCATTCTATTAACTGTGCTGAGGCCGTTTAATAAATTAAACCATAATTTAAAGTTTTAAATTTAAAAGTGCCGAGTTTATGATTGTTTCAATTCCTATTGAAAAGCTTATATCTAAAATAAAAGCTTCTAAAACGATATAAGTATGTCCTTGTTTACGTGCGGTTCGTATTTCTTTTTGTTTTATCAGTTGCCATCAATAATTATTTAGATAAAAGAAGAAAATTAATTTTAGTGTTCCGCAGGTGTTCGGTGAAATTTTGGTGAGATGGAAATGAACCAAATAATAGTAGTATTCTTTCGTTCTGAACGAAATGAAAATTTTTACTTAAACTGATTTATTCCTACGTGGTATAGGAAATAACAGTGATTTCTGGATTTTTCTATATCGGATCGTTCCTTTCTTTGTCGAATCCCTTTATCAGTAATGTTTAAAGTAAGTGAAAATTTTCAGTTCGTTCAGAACGAAAGAATACTACCTTTTATTACTAATAGTACTATACTAATTACTAATATTCGTATTCGTCCATAAGAGGTTATGTTTTATGTTCATTTGTAATTCGGTTACCACAGATATAATATAAAATACTACTAATTTTTATCTCGATTATATCGAAAAAGATAATTCGAATTAGTTAGTTTTAATTTACTATCGAATTAGTCGTATTATTTAATTCGAATTTTCCCAACACTACTTTTGCCGCCCACGTAGGACGAAGCGTAGATGCTTAGCGCATATGATGTAAATTTTCGCTTGGCTCACATTTGACTACCGATTTGGGTATTCTCATTTGATGCGCTTGACTTTTTTACCGATTGCCCATTTTTTTGTGCTAACCGATTCAAAAACGTCACCCTTAAAAAATCGTTTTGTTTATCGAACTAACCTAAAAATAGATACAACTGTCAGTAAAAATAGAAAAAAATGTGAATTTGTGCGTTCTCTTTCTCGTTAGTGAAAAATACTTTTTCTTCTACATGTATATTCCTCAATAATAGGTCAGTCAATCTGGAGGTTGAGGTGGAAAAAATTAGTAACCAACTGATCTCAACGGGAATGTGTAGATAATGGTCTCCTATTTAACCTCTTAAAAGTCCCATTCGGTCCCAGTGGGGAAAGTTTGAAAAAAAACCGCCGCCATCTTGGATTTTTCGTTTTTTTCAAATATCTCCGTTTGCATAACTTTTTTCAGAAAAAACTAAAGATATGTTTTTTGTAGAGACCACCTTTAATTTAGCTAATTCGCCTCCAACTGAGAACTCTGCAAAACTCCATTTACTCGGGAAACGATATTCTCTCGATGTTTTTCGTAAAAAAATAGACGACGCGTCCCATAAATAAAAATTCAACAAATTTGCAAGTAGCCAATAAAATGAGTGGGCGGAGCGATTTGCGGTGACGTACTCGTTAAGTCGACGTATAAAATAAATTGCTGTTTATTTAAATATTTTTTGTCCGCATTCCTTTCATAGACACAGATCCAGCAGATGTACTGTACTAAAATTATTTTATTGCAGTTGCAAAGAGAGTCAGTGTTCTAAAAAGTGCTCTTGTAGAAAACTGCGTTTTGCATGTTCTTTAAAGTGTGGTCATTGCTACGAAATCAGTTGCACAGACTTTTGTATTTTAGTTGAGGCTAAAATGACGCTCAGGATGACGTCATAGTAGATTTTATTTAATAACTTTAATTTAATAAAAAAAATTCACAATAATTTTATTTAATAAATAATATTTAAACGTTATTTTTAATTGTTTTAATGCTTAAATTTATACCTGGTTTATACTTGTGGATTGGTTTAAAAAAACATGAAAATTTATAAACCGTATAGTAAAAAAATGCTCTATCTCTATTACTATTCATTTTAGAAAAAAAAATTATTCAAGGTAAAATATTCTAAATTTAGTTCTCTACAAAAAAACATATCTTTAGTTTTTTCGAAAAAAGTTATGCAAACGAAGATATTTGAAAAAAACGAAAAAATCAAAGATGGCGGCCATTTTTTTCAAACTTTCCCCACTGGAACCGAATGGGACTTTTGAGGGGTTAAATAGGAGATCATTATCTACATATTCCCGTTGAGATTGGTTGGTTACTAATTTTTTCTACCTTTACATATAATACTCGGCTACGTTTACTGGCCTATAAGTAATTGATAATTTACGACTTGACAGCAATAAATATTATTCAAAACATCGAAAATGCTGAGAGGCATCTTCAACATACCTCTTGTATAATAAGAATAATCACATATCCATAGAAAAATAGGTTGACATAACACTATCTAAGGTTATGAAATTTACGTACCATATAGTCTGTCCTTGGTCTGTCCCCGGTTTGCCTTTGCAAGAGGAAAAACTTTTCGATTATTGACATTTTGAGAAAAATGCAAGCATAAAAAATTTTGCTTATTAAAATGGTTATAATCCTGTTTATACTTGTCCAAATTTCCATATCGTTTTAAAGAAAATTTAAAAAAAAACATAAAAATATTGTTAATTTTTTTTTCGTCCTGTAAGTCAAAAGGCTATGGTAATATAATTTCGATATCATTTTTTGATAGATGGTTTTGGCCTTCTTTAATATTATAAACCAGCAAAAAATACGATTCTAATTTAAATTCTCTCAATAGCTATCTATGAAAGAATTAAAACGAAATTATATTACCGTAGAACCGCGTTTAGATTTTTCTAACTTGAACGGCATGGAAATTTGAAAAAGTATAAACAGGATTAATCATTTTAGAACGAGCAAATTTTTTTTATGTGGAATGCATTTTTGTCAAAATGACAATACATAATCACAAAACATCCCCCTTTACAACTTTTTCTTTAGTGGCCATAAGTGGGAGTAAAAGACCAACACCCGAACAAACACTAGAGGCGCCACCGGTCATCAAATGGTGTAAAAAATTGCGAAAATATGATCATCTAATTTTGACACAAAGGGTCGCGCTTAACTTTTAACATTGAAAATGTTTCTGTTATCCTATATAAAGGGAGCCCAAATCGAATTAAAATGCTACATTTGCCACACCATGACGTCATATATACAAGGGTATAGGAAATCTCGGCGCAGCGGCGCAGTCGGCCAGCGCGCGCAAAAACCATTACATCGCTAATTGTTTATTGATATATCTTTATTAGTTTAAAAGCAAAAAATATGGGGTTTGCTTTGATACCTTGTCAAGACATGAGCGAAACTTTTAAATTGTTTCTTTTTTTCATTTAGGCCTTCGTTTTTCGTTAAATGAAAGTTATATTAAAAAAAAATCTCTATTTTTAAACCAAATTTTCGCATGATTGAAATGATTATTCATGTTTAAAGTTTTTTTTTGGTCATAAGCGCTAATGGAAATGTTTTTTTGTAAATAATTATAAAAAATTACTCCCTACGAAGACTTTATTCTGTACTGGATCAAAAAATAAGTATTTGTTTTCTCTATACGGTGGTATT